TGCTCAGAACCCTTAAACGCTCATGTAGCGGGCGGGGATAAAATAAAAAATATATGCAACTGCGGTGTCATTTGACACCTACCTGAAGTGCTCACGTAGCGTCGTGGGGAAGGCTTCCTCTTGATTTTTCCCTTAAATGGGGGAGGCGCCGGGAGGCTGCCAAAATTTTGTATGAAATAAGACAATGAGTTGAACAAAAATGAACTTGGACTTGGACTTGATTGAACTTAAAAAGAACAAATGCAAGGAACTTTGACTTGAGATTGTAGTTTGGGACAACTACAAAGAAATTGAACTTGAACTTGAACTTAGATTTGAACGATATTTGGACTGCAGGGGACCTAATTTGAAACAGAACTTGAATGCAATCAATAAATAATTATTAAATTAATGAATGCTCAATCACGACAAGCATATAACATTAAGTGGCAATCATAATCATTCAAATAAAGATCAACGAATGAGTGGAAAATTCTATATTGAAGTCTTAATGAGCTTGATTTGTAGTTTAGCTCACAATAAAGGATCTATATGAATGTGACAAATAAAGTGGAGCTGAAATAGACAAGCTTTACAAATATGAGTTGATATATCAAACTCATGCAAGCACTACTCATTCATGAATGACAATGAAAGCTCCAACAATTGATCTCTTTTTGAGATGATTACAACACGCAAGCATTGAAAATCTTCAAGCACGCAGATACCGGCTTGTAAGCAAACGAAGACTTTTGGTGTATGGAATCCCCAACATCTCATTCATAAATGATAAAGTCATAAGGAACATGACCATAATGATTTGATGACAATCCAACTCCGACCAAGTTCTGAATGTCAAGTTGAATAAGATTATTGAGGCTTACGAGTTCTCGATGAATTAGTGATCTCCGAAGCTTACACTGATGATTGCATAGGACTCAAAGGTGAAGGACATATGGTGCACACCAGCTCCTACGAGTTGTTGTAGGAGACCGTCATAAACACTAACCATCACCTACAAAGAAAATGTGAAGATCTGCAATACATACGGGTTCTCTACGAATACAGATGTATGCACCACATTCCACTTATGAGTAGATGCAAAAAGACTTCAGTAAATGTAGTATCCTAAAGTCAATTCCAGCCTGTGAGGAATACATCTACCTGCCTACTTGTAGCAGTGACGAATGTACTACAGGAGCCTAATATCACAATAAAGTGCATAAAGAATATGATAGATACAAGCTCCCACAAGCTTCTGCTGGAGCCCCGCTATGAATATTACATACAATCTACGAACAAATGCCAAAGAACTACGATGAATGCAAATATCAACAAACATAAAGCTAGAGATTTGTTAGTGCACTATAAACTACCTGCAGAAAGCAACAAGTAGTGCACGACAGTCTACCTGTACAAGACAGTAAATAACTCAACTCCAAGCTGCTGCAAAACGCCACCGGATCCGCAACATCCATGCAAGTGGACATATGGTGTTTCTAAATATTTCAAAATATCCCCACACATGTATCATAATCTATATGCACATAGGTACACTAAATAGGGGTATACAATCAAGAACTCGTATGGGCCCTGACGAGCGTGTCATGGGAACACATGTGATGTCTATAGGGATGCTGCGCGAGTCAATAAATTTGAGCCCGATCCTCCTAAGCGACTAAATGGTAATCGACAAGGTTCAACAAAATAACTATAAAATGCCCCCAAACACCCGCATGTGCCCCGACGAGCGTGTTATGGGTACACACGTGACGTCTAGGGATGATGCGGGGTCGACAAGTGAATTCAAGTTCGAACCCGATCCTTCTATACTGATCAATAGGAGTTGATAGGGTTTAAACCATCAAATAAATATACGGTTGTGCCGACCAATATATTTGTTTTAATACATTCATATTAGATCTTCAAATCCTATAACAATATGAATTCACTAATAAAGACACAAAGCCTACGAAACCCAATCTCTTATCGACAAGATGATAGGGTCAACAAGGTTCAAGCTTTAAATGTAAATGATCCCAAACACGCCGATGATAGTCGTGTTGAATGCAAATCTCAATCAGAGGAGTGCTCCAAATATTTCAAATGCCACCCAAATACCCATGAACATCGCAAAATCCAAAAAAATATTTAAAATTGAAATAATCGATCAACACTTGAAGCAAAATTCATCAACCCTCCGCAACCGTTTACCGAGGTGGACAAATTAAAATTTACTTTAGCTCATATAGAGCTAAATGCCTAGTCGAAAATATCACTAGGATCCATTCTCAAACAATCTCCTGCCAGTAACGATGTGGTAAGTGTCCTATAACCAGTAATTTTGCTGCTAAATGGCACCGCAGGATAAACGGTTATGACCCGGGGCCCTATGAACCTAGTGGTTTTGCCACCAAATGGCACCCCGAAATATCGGTTATGACCAGAGCCAATACGTTCCTTAGTGGTATCAACTCCTAGAGATATGAATCGATAGGATATGATCGATAGGGCACAAAATCCCATGTTAGTTAAGGTGGATTCAAATTTGTCCCCTTAGATAAATATTCATCCCAAGTCTACAAGGTCCCCTTGTACGAAGCAACCATGGCTGCCGACAAGGATCCTTCTATCAGGTTGGGTCGACTACCTCCTCTGACTAAGTAGACCAAGGACCACGATGGCTCGGGATGACGGAACCATGGGATCTTGATTGGGTCCTTCATCCATTCCCCTACCATCCGGTTTAAGAGCAAGGTGGTGAAAATTTCCAATTTTAAATATCAAACCTTCCAAATTCAAATCCATGCTGCTACTATATGCCAGATACCACATCTCTACGTATCTGATTGATGACTAGCCTTAACCGAAAGTTCTCTCTCGTTATCTGGAGGGGTAATTAACTGTAGGGGCTTGCGCCTATAGGAAACCAGAACTCAGATCATAAAGTCCTCACAAAATGAGGGTGAAATCTCTGGGTAGTGTCTTATCTACAAACCCATATGCCTTCCAAAATTTACCGCGGAACTTAACTCCGTTAAAACTCCCTCGCTGAAGAAAAGCAATTAGCGGGTGGAGGCCGGGGCCGAATTTTCGGAGCCCACACCTCCATAATTCAAGTTTAGCTTTAACTCTCTCTTTAGTCATATTAACAACAAGAATATCATCATCGAAAAACATACACCAGGGTACAACCTCTTGCAAATGTCTAGTGAGAACATCCATGACTAAAGCAAAAATATATGGGCTTAATGCTGATCCTTGATGTAATCCAACTGAAATATGAAAATATTTGGTCAAATCACCTTGTGCTTGAACACAAGTAACAGCTTATGCATACATATCTTTAATGACTTGAATATAAGCATTATTAAGCCCTTTCTTATGTAGAACTCTCCATAGCACTTCTCTTGGAACTTTATCATATGCTTTCTTAAATCAATAAAAATCATATAAAAATATGGGATGTTTACTAAATATTTTGTTTACATTAAAGGTAAATTCCTTATTTCTTTGCTTTATTATTTAAGTAGAGATTGATGATTGGCCACATATCACCTGATATGAAATTATCATTTCGTTTAAAAAATTTAAGGCTTTCCCAAACTTGGTCGTGCGAGAGATAATAAAATTTTTGGATTAATTTTGTAATGGTGATGTTAAAGGTTATAACAATGCTTTAAAAATCGGACCGGACCGGCAGGTCTGACCGGTTCAACCGTGAACCGGTCTAAAGGCCGGTTCGATTCAACCTAAGAACCGGCCTAGCATCAAACTGGCCGGTTTTGTCATGAACCGCCGGTTCAACCGGTGAATCGGTGGATCGATCACGGTTCTCTTCAACCAACCAGTTCAACTTTTGTATTTTTTAATATTTAAATTTTAAATAACTTATTTTTAAATATTAAAAAATATTTGAAATTTAATTTCAAATTTGAAATGCTTAATTTTAAATTAAAAAATTCCAAACAAGCATTTCATGAAGTTTCATCTCTTTACATGATGTACTACTTCTTTCAAGCTCAAAAGTCAATATAAAGTAAAAAATTAAAAATTATTTATATTAAACTTATTAATTCATTTGTAAGTTAATTTTTTGTTAAATTTAAAATTATATAAGATATTAGTAATGTGTGAATTCAATTTATTGTCTAATAAAAAAATTATATTATTATATGATTTTTATGTCATCAAAATTTTATTTATTACCTCATCCGGTTCGACCGGTTGAACTGTGAACCGCTCTCTACCGGTTCGTTGGCCGGTCCGGTTTTCACAACCTTGGATTATAAGGTTATATTGGTCGTGCGAGAGCAAATCTTATTGTTTCTCATTCTTAATATAAGAAATACTAAGAAGGAATAAATATCATATTTGCTAATTTTTTGTCGACAGTGAAGGCATTTTTCTTATTTCATTAAGTTATTTATACCAGCAAAGATATTATTAGCGGCCGCGTATTATTCTAAGAAATCTATCACTTGGTGATCTAAAAAAAATGATACAGGTTATATTATACTTAGTCGTGTGAGTAATTTCTGAAAGGACGAAGCTTATTTGAATTTTAACATCTCCTAATATGATAAGAAGCACTAAAAAGGAATAAAGATTAGCTATGCAAATCACACGTGTGTCACGTCAATCAATTCTATTGTTTCCCATGCAATTAGGTTGTCCACGCGCCTTTATACCAAACAATAGCTTGGAAATTAAAAAATATATATATACAACATTCACGTATCCCTCATCCGTTGATCAACGCACTCTTCATTTGGTGCTAAATAAAATTACAAAAGCTATATTAATTTGACATACCTGTGAGAAATGCTATATATTTTGGTATAAATTTGATATAAGTATCATCAAAGGGTACATTCGGAAATGCCAAATTGTTCTCATCGAATTCTAGATTTTCATATTATATAAGCACTTTTTTTTTTTTTTTTTTCCTTGTGGAATTAATCAAATTGTTGCTAGTCGGAAGTTTTGGATGACTAATGCTTGACATTCGTTCGCCCCAGGAGTAACACCTGCTGAGAAGCTCTTAGAGATGTACAACAGAGATTGGGGATGCAGTGTAGATCCAGTTTTCCAGGAATTGTTATATTAGCTTTTTTTTACCCCTAAATTTTCCCTATTTTTTTCTTGGGAATAAACTACGATTGTCTTACATCTCAAATAATTGAGCTCTGGTCTCTAGCTGCCTATTTCTGCTGCTTTGGACGGAAGCAAGCATGTTATTGTCGATAGCTATCAACCAAGAATTTGTAAACTGAAATCTTAATATTGGTTTCCTGTCTTTACCAGCAGAGATAGTTTGGTAAACTTTAGTGAAACTATTGTTGTTGGCGATATCCTCTTATATTCTGAAACAACCGATTTTTCACTCTTGGAACAATATGTAATATATGATATAAGTAATTCTGCTGCCGTTTTTTTTTTTTTTTTTTTTTTGAAACTGCAGAAGCTTTTATTCCAGAAAAAAAAAAAAAAAAGATGCAGGACTAAGTGAGAGATAATCTATCACGCTCATCCTTCAACATTGAAAAGAGTTGAAGGGAAATTATTGTCTAACAAATCCAACCATAAAAAATTCCCTAGTATAGAAAAAGAAGCACAAAAATCAGCTATTTTATTATAAGATCTAGGAACATATTTTTTTTGAAATCGGAAAGAAGAATATTCTTTGTCCGTGGAGCTTTTAGATTTTCATTTTATGTTGTCCATACAATTCTGAAAAAGTTGAATTACTTTAACATTATCTCCTTCAACCATACTAGTGCCTACTCCAACATCCATGGCTGAATGATGTCTTTAATGGCAAGGATTGCCATCATTTCAAGTTGCAAAATGTCCCAATGTTGAAGCTGTCTTCCAAATGGCAGTAAGAATTTACCTTTATGATCTCTTATGACACCTCACATAGCTCAGAATACTAGGTACCCAGAGAAGCATCTACATTAATCTTTATCCAAGTTAGATGTGGGAGATGCCATAAACAATTAATCAATCTATCAAATTGATTAGCATCCCAGTTATCCTTAATTGGATAAAAATGAGTTTTAGGAATATCTGACTGTCACAACCTGGCCCGGCTAGTCCGAAATAACGGAGCTGGAACAGTCGGTCGTACCGAAAGAACATATAAACCATATCATCAAATTCATTTCTTACAACAATAAGATATAAACTTTATCATTCATATACATTAAGAAAGAGCTACTAAAAACAACAAATTGAAAGTTCCAAAAGTATCCTCAAACCATTAAAAACATAAACAAACATAAATATCAACAATTACATAATCTCCAACAAACTTCACAGATACAAACCACTTACTCAACAGATACATAAAATATAAAAATCTTTCTTCTTGAGGTCCTCTACGACGGTAGGTGTACTGTCATCTCGTAGCCATTATTTTCCAGAAGGTTCTCTTGAAAAAGATTCACACAAGGGTGAGCTTACTTGCTTAACAAGTAATTCATGTCTTTCATAAAAATTTGCATAAAATCATTATAAATCATTAAAGGATGGTCAAACTTGCATAAATTCTTAACATTACATATAAGAAATCTTTTCATTTATTTTCTCTCAATCGTAAACCTTTCATTTATCTTTTTCTCAACATCATCTTTCATATTTTGTAAAAAACATAATGAAATTAATATTAAGCATAATGTCTATAATATCACTCATCTCGGATGTGCCCATAAATTCTGTACTATTCAGGTACACATTATCATTTGGTCATTCCTTTACCATTGGCTCTAAAGAGCCTCCTTTACCATTTATTTCTATCGAGTCCCTTTACCATTTAACCCTTTCGAGTCCCTTTACCATTGGGGCACTCCACATTAGCATGCACCTTCTCATATTATAATTTCTTTCAGTCATATGCGTAATAAGAACAAAAGTGAATCAAAACTCATGTATTCAAAACATAAAAATATTAAATCTCAACTTAATATGAAAGTTCACCAATTTCATGAAATAAAAGATTTGAATATATCATTTGATAAAAAAAAAATGAAGTTCATACTTTGTATAACATGAAAAATTCGAATCTTTTTGAATTGTATAAAATAACGAAACATAATTATGAAATTTTTATCAAAAATATGAATACCTACCTCTCTTAAGCACGATACTTCCTCAAAATGTTTCTTTGATAGAGTTTGCTCACTTTAACGATCACAACCTAAAATAATCACAAAAAGATGTGTCACAATTCAATTCCTTAAGGTTTAATCTAATTCCTAAGTCTAAATCCTTCGTTTTCCCTTTAATTATTCGTACAAAGATTAATAGAATTTTATATCATTTAACCTAAATTTTTAGAATTATTATAAATCCAACTTTTAGAAATCTCTAAATCAAGAATTTTCATCATAACATTAAGCTAAATATTTTCCTAAACATAATTAATAATTAGGTTAATTATTTTTGAATTAAATTAATTAAGAAATTACTAAAAATGAAAATTATTACAAAAATTTAATTTTTTTTTTTTTTATAAAAATTCCTAAGGCCCTTAGAAATAACTTTTGTAAAAGCACTTTATAGAAATTAAATTTTAGGTAAAAGCCCTAATTTTCCTATTTCCAAAATTTCTCTAAAAATTTTATTTCCATCGTTAAATTGCTTCCCTAATCCTTCCTTAAAGGTTTCGTAAAGAAAATTCAAAAGAAAATCAAATTTTATAAAACCCTAGAAATTTCATCTCCAAATAACTTTAGATCGAGAGGGATTCGTAAGAAAGAATTATACCTTAAGATTCCCCTCGTCGTCCTCTTCGATTTACACTAAGTTTCTCGCCGAAAGAATGTCGCTGGAACCACCCCCGCCGAGCCGTGCTGTGCTCCCGTCCGCCCCCTTTCTCTCGATTTTGGCCGAAATACACGAATGGGGGAGAGTGGGGAGGGTTTGGTTTGCTTAATAGGGAGAAATGAGATTTGCCAAATGACCTAATTGCCCTTATTTAAACAATTCCAGCAATTCATTTGCTTAGGGGTAAAATCAATATTCAGAGACTTCTAAAATTTTTATCTCTGATAATATAAAAAATTAATCATAGGTTATATATATTAAAATGATCAGAATTTTGTGTAGAATTTTATGAAATTATTTTCGTCGAAATTCGTTAACTTCAAATTTTTCACTTAAGTTTCGTCGCGACGCATCGAAATGCGTGTGATGACCTACGATCATCATTTTCACGTTTTATAATTATCCCATTCTAATAAAAATTTCATCCTTGAAATTTAAAATAAATTCTATACAGTAAAGTCATACCTTAGCCAAATAAATGAGCGTGGTTCTCCCTCATTTCTGACTCCTTCTAAGTGGCATCTTTTTCTGAACTGTGCTTCCATAACACCTTAACATAAGGGATTGCTCTGCTTCTTAACTACTTAACATCATAATTAATAATTCTCTCTGGTTCCTCTACAGAGGTCAAATTCGGTTTAATATCAACTGATTCAATACTGATCTTCTGAGTTTCATTTGAAATGTATTTCCTCAAAGAAGAGATGTGGAATACATTATGTACTCCACTCATATGAGTTGGCAAAATCAATATGTAGGCCACACTTCCAATTCCTTCTGAGATCTTAAATGGACTTACATATCTTGGGCTCAACTTTCCTGTTTTGCCAAATCTCTTTACTTCATTCATCGGACTGACATTAAGAAACAACACAAAATCTCCCACTTCAAATTCAACTGGTCGGTGTTTGACATCATAATATTTCTTATGTCTATCTTGTACTGCCCTCAATCTATCACAGATCAACCTGATCTTTTCTGTAGCATTATCAACTAGATCAGCACCAATAATCTTCCTTTCCCCTATCTTAGCCCAGCTTAAAGGTGTCCTCCACCTCCCATACAAAGCCTCATAAGGAGCTATACCAATACATTCTTGGAAGCTGTTGTTGTAGGCAAACTCAATCAGTGGTACATATGTCTCCCACTTACCACCAAAATCCAAAACACATAACCTAAATAAAGTTTTTAAAGTATGGATGATTCTTTCTCACTACCCATTTGATTGACGGTGGAAAGCTGTATTAAATGTAAGTCTGATACCTATAGCTTCCTGAATCTTCTTCCATAATATGGAAGTGAATCTTCCATCCCGATCTGACACTATAGTCTTTGGTATCCCATATAATCTGATAATCTCTCCAACATATAGGTTAGCCAATTTCTCAACTGGATCAGACTATTTGATAGGTAAAAAGTGTGTTGATTTAGTTAACCTATGAATTATCACACATAAAGTATCACATCCTCTTCTGGATCTAAGTAAACCAACCACAAAATCCATAGTAATATATTCCCATTTCCACTCAGGTATAAGTAAGGGTTGTAGAAATCCTCATACTTTTTGATGTTCCACTTTTATCAGCTGATAGGAAGTATACTTTGATACAATATCTACCACACTTCTCATCATCCCTAGCCACCAAAACACCTCTTTTAAGTCCTGATACATTTTATTACTACCTAGATGAATGGTTTAACTAGAATAGTGAGCTTTTTGAAGGATATCTTTTTTTAAGTGATCAACATTTGATATGCACAATCTGCCTTTATAAAGAAATAATCCTTCACCATCAAGCTCAAAATCTTGAATGTGTCCCACACTAACCATATCCAGTATCTTCTTAAAATCTGAATCACATGGCAAAGCTTCTCGTACCCTTTCTAAAAAGGTTGATTGGATAATAGTGTTATTCAACCTTACAATTTCTACATCATTGGGTTGAGCCACTGAAATCTTCAACTTCTCTAATTCCCTTATCAATTCTTGCTGCTGAGTAATCATCCAATTTGCCCTACCTGAATTCTTTCTGCTCAAAGCATCTGCGACCATATTTGTTTTACCTAGGTGATACTGAATGTCCAACTCATAATTCTTAATGAGTTCTAACCATCTCTTCTGCCTTAAATTCAGTTCCTTCTAGGTGAATATATACTTCAAACACTGTGGTCAGTAAAAAATTCGCACTGAACTCCGTATAAGTAAATGCCTCCAGATCTTTAAGGAAAAAACTACTGCAGCTAACTACAGATTGTGGGTTGGGTTTTTTTAGAGAGAGAAGAATCAAAATTTTCAAATATTTCTATCCTGTGGTTTGTTGAGGGTTTCTAGCTCATGTCGGTGGCTTCATCGGCGGTCACTTTTGACCGCCGGAGGTCGTCATGGTCATCTTCACCAGTTAATCAATGTAATCAACTGAGATATTCATCTCAAATTTTGATTCAGAATGTTAGGTCTCCTGGACCGTTAGTGATCAAAGAACCAGATGTAAATTCTGTGAAGAAATCATCGCCTGTATCTGGAAGAGGGAAGCAAGTACTGAATGATGTGCAATTCAAAATTCCTAAGACGGTTCAAAATGTTAATGTGAGAA